AAATAAAAAAATATGAAACATTAAATTATAACAAAAAAATATTAAAGGTTAATATGTAACAAATATTAAAATTTGAAAACTAATTTAATAATTTTTTAATTACTTTATTTTATATTTAATAATTTGAAAGCTAAATTTTAAATATACCATATTGATACGAGAGATTAGGTATTTAAAATTATTATAATAAAAAATTGTCTTAGTATTTAAATGATAATAAAAATATATTTTATTTAATTAATTAAATATTAAGGTGTTTCGTAATAAATAATTTCGATTTATTTGAATCACCTTATTATATTTTTACTTTGAATGATGATTTTGGTTGAGTCACTCAATGGGAATAACTCAAATTCTCTATTCATTGTTATAAATTGATGTTAGAGTATATATTTTGTTAACTAAACAAATAGAATCAATATTCCGTTGTTGATTATGAAAATAATTAGTTGACACTTAAATGCAAACAATATCAAAAAAATCCAGCAGAGTAAATCAAGATATTTTGAACAAAAATCATTTTAATATGAATGAACTTTCAATTGTCGCGTACTTTGTTAATTTAATCCACTTTATAATTCAAAATTTAAAATTTTAAGAAACGATAAAACCACTAAAAAAGAAAATTTAATGATCATTATTCGATTAATGTCAGTAATTTAATTATTCTATCAATTATCAGTATAATTATTATGACTATTATATCTTTATAGCGTGAGCTGTTGGATTTAGAATAGTAACGACGATAACAATATACAATACTAATAATACCATCATTAACAAAACATTTATGATTACAAAATCTTGATATGTATCGGACCACTAATTTAAAAGAAACATAAATAAGGTTAATAAATAAATGGTATTTGAATAGGAAAACAAAATTGACTATGCATCCATAGGGGAAAAAAGAAACCATAAATGAATATACTCGCTCAAGCCATATGGTAAAATGTGACATAAAAGTCGAACGTCAGTCCCAATTGTGATTATATTATATATATATATATATATATATATGTGTGTATGTATATGTAGTTGTGGTGCAGGAAAGGAGGGGGACCTAAATTGCACATGTGCACCCACTCATGCCTCTTAATTGGGCTTATTAATAATAAGGTTTTGGACCAAGGTCTCCTCTCAAGACTCATCCTTTACAGCTGCCTAATAATTGTGCCTTTCCCATCCAACAACTACTTGTAGATCCACTTACTCAAATAATTACTTTAATTATTTTAATTAATAGGTCCTCCAATTTTTATATACATATTTATGAATAAAAAAAAACTTAAAAAGCTTATTTTGATATTGGATAAAGTAACTTATATACACCAATATAATTTATTAAAACAAATAATTTATTTATCCAATCTAATATTTTGAACTCCATTAGATAGATACACTTTTTTTTTTCTTTTACAAAAAATAAAGATATACAGAATACAATTCAACTCAAACTCACAATTTTTATTAAAAAAAATAGACGTACCAACGAATAAATTAAATAACGATTGATCGTATAAAATTTTTTTCTATTAGTCGTGAATAATATGCAATGAAAAATAACTTGCCAAGTATATAGTGTTAAAATAATTTTAAACTTATAATATTAATTATATTCAAATAATTTGATTATAATTGTTTAAATATATATATTATTATTTCATATTAAAAAAAAGTAATACAAATATTATTGTGAGTCTAGACTTATTTTAATATTCTCATACTCTCAAAGCATGTACCTACCAATTTTAATCCCAACGGGGGCAATTTAGTAAAATCTTAGAGGGACCCATAACTTCAATTTAAGCACCTAACAAGATTGATATCAATTAAAGAACAATTGAAAATTTGTACAGACAAGCTTTTAGCAAAGAGAACCCACAAGACTTACTTATCATCCCAATTAAAATATTTGAGCATCCAACAAGTTTTTAGAAGAAGAAAAAAGAAGACTGTGATTGTAAACCAAGAACTAAAATATAATCACACGCATAAGAAGTAACAAAACTATCTCGCTATCCTATTGTATTAAATAATTATGAATGTGATTTTAGTACAAAATTTTTTATATCATGCGTAAATGAATGAATTGAATATAATTTTAATATTTATAATATGATATATAACTAATTTTTCTACTCTAAACAAGAAAATTTTGGTGATTTGAATTTAACATTATTCAAATTAAATATTCGTCTCTTATAATTTATTTATTTTTTAAAAATAAAATAATACTATACATACTAAAATTGTTTACAAATAAATATGACAATGTAAATAAACAATCAAGATTAGTTAAATTATATAATATTCATACACGTCGTTGTTATAAAAAAATATTATAATAATATATATATTTTTAACATGTTACAATATTTTTATCTCAGTGTGTGAACGAATCAATTGAGTATAATCTTAATATTTACAATATATGACATATAACTATTTTTTCAAAATCATTTACAAATAGATATGAGAATATAAATAAAGGTCATGGTTATAAAAAAAATATTAAAATAATATAGTACTTTTTAATGTTTTTCTTTTAAAGATGTGTGAAAAGTAAAAAGTTCATCAATTATTTTCCACAAGAAATGAAATAAAAAAGTTAACAACAATAAATTAATAAATAAGACAATGAAAATAAAATAATTATATGTATATTACATAGAGAGAAAAAATACGTAAATTAAAATTCAAAATTCAAATTAAGAAATATGTTAATAAGGAGAAATGGGTGGTATGAGCAAAAGGAATCCAAAGCATAAAAAAAAAAAAAAAAAAAAAAAAAAAAAAAAGGCAGACTCAAGTCTTAATCAACAGTGGATGAAAAGGACAAAAATCAAATATTATAAGTAATTAGTAAAATATAAGTAGTTTGATTAATGAATAAGCGTGAGCATAAACCATCATTAATAAATGATGATGGCGAGAGGGTCCCATTGGGCAATGGCCCTTGTGGGGGGACCAAATGGCTCCCTTTATGCCCAACCTCTTTTTTTCTCTTTCTACTTTTTCTTTTTCTTTTTCTCTTTCTCTTTTTATTAAGATTAAAAAGCTCACCCCACATACATATATATATATATATATATATGTATGTATATGTACATGTATATATTTGTATGTTTTATGTGTGTCTCACGAAGTGGTAAGTGCTGTTTGGATTTTCAACTTGTGGAGATTCTCTCTCCAGGTTTTATGCTCTTAAAGCTCGACATGATTTTATGTGTACCCAACTAACTACTCACTCGCATATGAATGAATATAATACATACCCGCGTAGATATGTATGCCAAAGCATATTTGGCTTTTTTTTAATCTTAATAGGTGTGAATGCAGATATTTACAAAACGACAACACTTTGGAGTTGAACACAAAGGTTTTGCTGTATTTAATTTTTGTTCAGTTCATACTTTTTATTTAATATATTAATACATAAAGTTATATAATAATTTATTTTATATCTAAAAGGGTCCTTACAAGTGGTTTTTAAAGAGTGGGTAAGGCAAAAAAAACTTAAAAAAATTTATATTGTAATTTTACTATTAAGGCAAATTAGTAATTTTACCATCGACTGGTTCAAGGTAAATGGGCTCCTTGTGCTCTATTTGCTCGGGTTTTTCTGAGCCTGGGATGTGGGCTAAATGGTTTCGTCCAACCCATGAAGGGAATTAAAAATATATAAAATAAAATGCATAACCTAATTAAGATCGAAGCAATTTACGAGTCTAGACTGAATTCCAACTTATTTTTAGAGGCTCGTGGGTATTTCCTAATTCATATTTAATATGAAAATTTTATCTGTTAATCTATGCTTAATTTAATTATGAGAATATATAAATTATATTAGTACAACAAAAAGATTTGAATAATAAAATTTCTGTTACTTTTTAGTTGAAAAAAATAAACGGCAGATTTGCAATAATTCCCCTGTAAAAATTTTTGATATATTATAAATATATATTATGATATATGGTATAAAGCATCTCCCTCGTCATCTTTGGCTCTTCCTATTCCTATGATTTAAGGCCACGAACATGAAAATGAATAGTCCCGTGTGGTATAACTTGGCAGTAATTTACGCATTAGTTTGGAGACTTGTTAATAACATATTATTGGTACATATCACATTTATGCCATCAATATGAATATAAAGAAATATGTACCTTCAAGGGGACAGGGAACTTTGAATTACCAAACGAGATCCAAATATGACAGCGAAGACTGTCAATCACACATGTATATATATGTATGTATGTATGTACATACCATGGATATATACATATGTCTTCTTAGGCGAAGGCTTTATATCTGTATTGGTGATTTGAATTGTTGACAAACATTAAATTGCTTCTACGCATTCATTTTTTGGGTGGGTGAGGGCCAATAATTCTATTAAAATTTTTAGGAGCAAAAACTAAACACATAAAGAGTCTAAAAACATAAATTGAAGGAAATATTAGAATTCCACCTGTGTATCATTGGGCTTTATTGCAGTTTTATACTTTTAATTTTTGTATAGGGTTTAGTACCATATAATTTGATTTTCTCTCATTATACAATGGAATTGTTATTATTAATTTTTTTTTTTAAAAAAATAAAAATTATTTGCATGAATTTAAACTACTAAATGCAAACAGATTGAAGTTCAAGATTGAATTAAGTTAAATTAAATAAAATAAAAATAGTGTTCTAAAAAGCTAATAATTTAGGTGAGGCTACAAAAATTAAACAAAAAGATCAGACTGCCATTAGAAAGTTACCAAATTAAACAAAAGTATAATAGTCAATGCTTTCAATCATTTATGTCAAGCGGAGTTGCGTTGCAGGTCGGCAGTTTTCATATGAACAAAATCTGTGAGACAAAAGATGTCTCATGGATCCTCCAGGTTCAGGAGAACAGCATTTTGTATATGATTTTAATCCCGCTCAGGGGTGTAACAGATATTGATCCAAGACAAGGAAAGAAGGATTCAGAATTTAACATATAACTCTGATTTACTCCTCAATCTTCAGAATTGTCATAATAAAGAATATATCGAAAAAGTACAAAAATATAACAAAAATTCACTACATTAGACATTTATCTTCAATAACAATAAAAATTGAAAGCTACCATAGAAACAGGATATATGAATCTTGTTTCTGTCAAAAAAAAAAAAATAAAAAAAAAAATAAAATAAAAAGAAAAAACGAGCAGAGAAGCTAACAGCTGAAAAAGCACAACTGTACCTCCCATATTGCTTCTTACTTGCTGTAGAGAGAGATTGGATGTCTAGCACACAAATTGCATCAGTTAATCAATTTTCACAGAAGAGTAGATGAGCCTTGTGAACCAAAAGCAAGCATAGAATCCAATTGTACCAGTTACCACGAAAAATGCATATGAGGCAATTAGCATGTACCCAAAATATAATAAACCAGAAACCAACTTGGTGATTTCAAGCTTGGTGAAGAAGTAAAAAGTAGCATAAAGGAAGAGATAGAGTGCAGAGGAGCCTGAAGTAAGATATGACCTCCACCACCATAAGTAGTCCTCACTGCACAACTGGAAGTAGCAAAGCACAATGGTTATCTCGGCACAGGTGATAACGAGGATAACAAAGACTAAGAAAAGGAAACCAAAGATGTAGTAGAACTGATTCAGCCAGATTGAGGTAAGAATGAAGAAGAGCTCAATGAAAACAGCTCCAAATGGGAGGATTCCTCCTATCAGAATTGAGAAAATTGGGTTCATGTACCAAGCCTGCTCTGGAATCTGTCTTGGGATTTTGTTTGTCTTCACCGGCTCCTCGATTGCTGGCTTCTTGAATCCGATATAGCTACCAACAAACACAAGTGGAACTGAAATTCCAAACCATAAGAAGACCAGAGCAAACATTGTCCCAAATGGCACAGCCCCGGATGATTTCTGGCCCCATATGAGAGTATTCAAGAAAAAGAAAATGGAAGAGACAACAGCTGGGAACATGATTGCTGTCCTCAGAGCATTTTTCTTCCATTCTGTTCCTTTAAACATCTTGTACAAGCGAGAAGAAGCATAACCGGCAAACAGGCCCATGAAGACCCATAGTAGAAGCATGGCTGTCATAAGACCACCCCTATTTGAAGGGGATAGGAAGCCCAGAATGGCAAAAATCATGGTGACAAGTGTCATGCCAAAAAACTGAAGACCAGTCCCAACGTACACGCATAGTAGATCTGAATTAATCGGGGGCCTGAAAACATCACCATGGATGAGCTTCCATCCTGTCTCTTCTTGGGCTTCTTCTTGGGTTTCAAGTTCATTATACTTGGAAATGTCACGGTAAAGCGTCCGCAGCATTATCATTGCTACCATGCCTGACAGGAAGAGAACAATCATCAAAGAATTGACAATTGAGAACCAATGAATTTGATCATCACTCATGAGTAGGTATGCATCCCATCTGGATGCCCACTTCACATCACTCTCCTGTAACACAGACAAGAGAGTAAGAAAACAATAATAAAAAGTCATTTATGGTAGACAACAGTTTGGACGTAATTAAATTTCAACAAACAGAATCTGACCTGGAACTCCACATCATATGTGAATATAATTTCCTTTTTGACATCAACTTCTTGAGGAGAGTTAGAACTAGAAACTGTACGCTTTGTGTGTGGGTCACAAGTTGTCAAACGAGTTTTATCTGTCCATGTTCCTTCATATTCATGTTTTACACTGCAAATCAAGAATTTAAATAAAAAATGAAATCATCAGATCAACAAGAAGAAACCATTTTATGAAGAAATGTCAATCAAGAGAACTAACCTGAATGGCTTGACCTCAAATCCAACAATTCTCGCAGTGTCAGTTTGCAAATCTCTGTGGTACTTGACAGTAAATGCCAAATGATTGTGTATAAAATATTTTTCTTCCTTGCTCTGCATAAACCCAGAACAAGTAAGAAATTTCAATCAAAAGTAACTTTATGCACAACAAAGTTTTTAAGACTCAGAGGTAAAATATTTACCCCGCTATATTGGCCTTTAAGTCCAACATGATAGCCAAGCTGGTAAACAGGAGGAGACTCCTGATCTAACCTTTGAATGGGAACAACCAGAGGGAGGTTATCAAGGATCCTGCCACATGCACAGCAAATAAATTAGAAAGTACTACTTCATCAAAATTATCAAGAAAATTGATAAATGAATTCATGTTCTCAATCATACATGTTAACTCGATACTCATCATCAATCTTCTCTTTGAACTCTTTAGCAAGTTTGGCATCAAGTGTAAGCCGGCAAAGAACATTGCACATTTGTGGTTCCCGCATTTTAAACTGCAAGAGAAAATGATAGCCAAATAATCAAACTGCCCTACAAGGTAACTATGGGGGCATATACTCAAAACTTTTAAACCAACCACATAAGGGGAGTTCTCAATACGGTCACCACGAAGCACTTCCCCAAGATTTTCTGCACTGTCCAAAATTTTTTTGGGGCGACAGTATGGAAGAGAATAATACAAGTAAGGAAGCTGAGTCTTTATAGAGGTTAACTTGTTCACTTTCACCATCAATGTATCTCCCTGCACCCAGTGACATAAAAATATACGTAAATAAGAAAAAACAATTGCTTTTTTCTTGCATACAGGAATATACAAAGTATCTTTACCACAGCCCGAGATTGAAAGAAAACTAAATCGCTCAATTGCAAGTCAAGCATACAGTCTCTGTGTTAGGCAATTTATCTTTAACCCCAAAAACAATATGTTTGATTCAGTTCATCCTCTTCACAAAAGGACTGCAGAGTGATGTTAAGCAATAACAATCCAAAATCCAAACAACTGCACTATAACAAAAGAATTAAGCTGGCATTTGCTATTTCACCATTATGACCTAAGAGCTCATTTCTAAAGCAATGTGGTGATGTCAAGTCCAGCACTAATAATGGATAATTATAAATGCGACTAGAAGTTTCCTCTTGCTATTTCTAGTTATGACCTTAAGGTAAACAAAGAGCATTTCTAAAGAAATGTGGTGCGGACAAATCCAGGATTAATAAGAAAAGATTATTAATTTAAAAGAGAATAGTCCCTCCAGCTGTTTCGCCCTATGACCTAAAGAGTACAGGGAGCTTATTTATATAGGCAGTGTGGTTCTGGCAATCTAGCACTAACAAGAATAAGAGTTCCCTCTTGATTGCAGACAATGCCTTTTTATGACAAGAAGAAAACTAATTAGATAACCTAGAGAATTTGAGCTAAGTTAACGCAAACATCAATATAAAGAAAACTGCTCTAAGCATCTGATCTTGTTGTTGAAATATTCTTCGGATTTACAGAAGGAAAAGTTTTATTTGCTTTCAAATGTCCTGCATTCTGAAAGCAAACGAGTGCAGATTCGACCAGAAGTTACCGACCAGATTTTATCATAGCACTAAGTACCCGATTAATAGAAAGATCAATTGATATGAAACTGAAACTAAAATGTAAGCATACCTTTATCCTAAAATGCAACCTTATTAAGTAATACAAACACATATATGCGTAACAATCACAAAAGCTGTTAGCACAAACTAAATATATAACTCTGATTGCAGAGAACGCGAAATATTAACATTCAATCGAGACATTTCACAATATCATCAATTTCCAAGAGACTACTAGAGAAATGCAATCTCCTAATTTTCGATCAGCAAAGCAAAGAAAAGTAATCCTTCACTTTCTCCCCCAAACAAACACGGTTCATGTTAAATTTTGAAATCAAAGGCAGATCAAACTTGAACGCATATCCAAGTAATAAAGGATAGAAGCAGATCAAGCAAGTGCAAACAGATATGTATAGGGGACTACATTTGCATAGCATAGGCACGACAGAGATTACCAGCAGAGAGAGCGCGAGAGAGAGAGAGAGAGAGGTCACCTTTTTGAAATCCTGGGGAGCAACGCCGGGGAGATAGAAAGAATATGAGCCATGGATCAGGAGGACGAGAATTGCAGCGATAATCGATTTATCAAGCGAGTGAGATCCTCTTCTCCTTCGAGACTCCATGGATTTACAGAGACGGTGGCAGATCTCGGGGTGGGGTGTTGTTTGTCAGGTGGGGGTAATTCGTGAAAATAAGGTGAGAAAGGAGAGAAGAAGGGGAAAAGAAGGATGGGGTGTTTTGGGAGTAGATCGGGTCCTGCTTTCTCTCCAGTTCATTGACTGCAGTACTGTTTCGGTTACCCACTCTGATTTTGCCACGTGTCATGTTCCAACGTCCAATCGTGCGATCAGTCTGTGATTACCGGTGCAATGTCACATTTTTGTAGAATTTGATTTAGACATTTTAATGACCAAGATTTTAGACTAAGATTTAGCCCTTTTTTTTTTTCTTTTTTTTTTTTTTTTTAAAAAAAGAAAATATTTCCATCTTAATATTGAAGTCTTTACGTACACTTTCAAAAAGTAATTTTTAAAATTTAAATTAAAATATTATTTTTATTTAAAATTTTATACAATTATATTATTAAAATCAAAATTTTATTTAAATCAATCTTATATCATTACTGCAAAATAAATTAAAAGATAGCATGTTGTAAAATGAAATACACTAAAAAGATTTTTTAATAACTAAAATTTTTTAAAAAATTAATCGAAATAACTATTTTGGTAATTTACATAATTAACATGTGTGTGTTAGAAATATAAATAATTATAAAAAATATAGTCCAGTAATTATTATTAGTGGGCCTTGAGTATAATCGTCTACCTAACAGCCCATCCATGTTCATCGTATAACGGGCCTAACTGATGAAAATAAAAAAGAAGAAACCCAAAATCAGAAAGAACCACCATTGTATAGTCACGTTTAGGAGTTTATTTTTATTATTTATTTATTTTTTGCATGTCAATGTCATCCCACCTGAATAGAATAATAATGATGATGATTATATATATTATATATATATATATATAATCTTTATTAAAATACGAATAAGTAATATTGTCATTAGCTCTGTTTTTTTACAAACATCCTGACTGTATTTCCACTTGCGCTTCTCAATAACATATATATATATATTTACATACTCGTGCATGTACAGACAAATCTCGCGTCGCATATGTATATACCATATATGTGCTGTGTGTGTGTATATATATATATGTAGTAGAATAGAGAAGCAAAATTGAAGAAGATTAAGATGGGTGGGTTTGATGATTACAAGCCAGCCATGGCTATGATAGGAATACAATCGGGTTATGCAGCCATGTCACTCCTCACTAGAACTGTCGTCCTCCAAGGAATGAATCCCAGAGTGTTTGTTGTCTACAGACAAGCCATGGCAACTCTCGTTATTGCTCCCTTAGCTTTTTTCTCAAGGTGTGCGTACGTACATACATATACGTATATACAGCTAGCTTTACATGCATGTCATGATGTAAATATGCACACTTTATAATTTCAAAAAAATTGTGCTGACCATTTTCTTCTTTTTGGTCGCAGGAGAAAATCCAGTGGATGCTTGGGATTAAAGAGCTTCTCCTTGTTATTTTTTACCTCACTTATTGGGTGTGCTATACTTAATTGCTGTGTTAAACTTTAGACATAATATACGGAAATATTAATATGTTGGGGTTTTCATGCAGTATAACAATGAGTCAGAACATGTTTGTTGAGGGAATGTACTTGGCTTCATCATCAATAGCAAGTGCAATGTGTAATTTAGTCCCTGCCATCACTTTTCTGCTGGCAGCGATTCTCGGGTGAAGTAATTTGAATTAGATATGAAATCTGGAGAAACTGTATTACAGAAATAAATATTTGAGTGATTGATTTTGGGTTGTAGATTGGAGAAGATAAACATTGGAAGCATGAAAAGTAATGCGAAAATTATAGGAACTTTGATGTGTGTTGGCTGGCGGAGCAATTTTAATGGCACTGCTCCGGGGTCCGAAGCTGCTCAATGCATATATGATTCTTACGGGGAAGTCTTTGTTCGGATTGGGAGAGGAAAACTGGTTGTTAGGGTTGTATTTATCTTTTTGGAAGCACTCTTTGTTGGTCTCTTTGGTTAATTTTGCAGGTACGTTAAGTAATTGAATTTAATAAAATATTATTCTTTTATTTTGATCATCTACAATGATTTTAAATTAAATAGTCTTTGAACTCATATATATATATATATATATATATATATATATATATATATAAAATAGGTCCCGCTTTCTGCTTGCTATCCTGATCATCTTTCGTCCACGGCTTGGATGTGCTTTTTGGGTGGATTGCAGTCTGCAGCCATTACACTTTTGGTGGAAACAGATGGACTTTCCATTCAAATCTTGAACTTGTTACCTGTCTCTATGCGGTATTTTATATTTGTTTTTATTTATACAACATTTTGAGCTTCCATTATGACTTGAGGGTGTTCATATTTTCCATCCAAGGACTTAAAAATTAGATCAGACCACACTTTGGTTAGAACTAAAATAGAATTGTTTGAACCTAAAGTAAAAATAAATTTCTAGTGAGTTACCATTTTGCTCAAAAAAATTATTAATAAGAAATATTACTAAAACCCAATTTGATTATGCATATTATCAATTTAATGTTATTTTCGATGTTTTTCAAACATTTATTTATTTATTTTTAAAAAATTAAAAAGATTTAAATTAATAGTTCAAAAAAAAAAAGACTTTTATTAATTAATTAATTAAATTAATAAATGGATTTGAAAAGACTAAAACACTATATATATTGATTTACTCAATTTTGTATGAATAGGGAATCATAGGATCCGCAGTCTCATTCTTCCTTCAGTCCTGGTGCATTTCACACAGAGGTCCTGTCTTCTCTGCTATGTTTACTCCTTTAAATACAGTTCTTGTCACGATCTTGGCTGCAATATTTCTTCGTGAACAAGTTTACATAGGAAGGTAATGGATTAATATAGTAACATCCTATCTTCCACGAAATATTAGAAGATTATTTAGATTTAATTTGCTCTGGTTTTGTTTTTAGCTTGATAGGAGCAGTCAGCGTGATTATAGGTTTATATACTGTCCTTTGGGGAAAATCCCAAGATCAAGTAAAAATCGATATGCCGAGAGATCAAACAGTATAAGATTTGAAAATTTTGATCGAAGAACAAAATTGTAAGCTTCATTTGGAGGAATGTCTTCTCGCTCACTCCACGAATCAGAACTGACTCGCAATGACAGCTACATTGTTGTATTCTTCTGTTTTAGTTAATTGATAGGCTGAGAGAATTTCTGTTCTTATTATTTTCGAAAATCAATATATATATATATATATAATTCAACTTATTTTGATCATCATCAATCATATATAAAATTATTGCAATGCTCTGATAACGTTAGTGGGTGTCTTCACTTTCAATAGCAAGATACCAAAATCAGCCAACCGAATTCTAAACCAATCAAAATTCTAGTCTTCTTCTTCTTCTTCTTCATGAATCACCATAAATTTACAGCCTACCCTGCTCAAATATGGAAGATGAAAAGATATTACGCTCTGTAAAAGCTTGTTAGGATATATACAGGTTCATGTGTCCCCGACATGTCCACGTGAAAACTTCACATGGGCATTTCATCTTAACAAAATATTTCCATCTTAACATTAAAGTCTTTACGTACACTTTCAAAAACTAATTTTTAAAATTTAATTATAATATTTTTATTTAAAATTTTAAATAATTTGATTATGTTTATAAAATTAAATTTTTATTTAAGTCAATTTTATGTTATTATTGAAAAATAAATTAAAATGTTGTAAAGCCCCAAAACTTTAGAAGGAAATTAATTCATAAAATTAAATGCGGAAACGATTAACAAAGTTAAAGTTTATATTACTTATACAATAATTTAGAATGCCCAATAGAGGTACGAGAATATTCATTCTAAAAGACAATCGGTAATTAAAGAAATAAAAAGAAGAGCGAATACAAAAGTACCATAAGACAGCCTTCACTAACACTTGAAGTGAGTTCGGGTGGTAAACTACTCACAACCCTCTTGTTGATCGGGATCTGGATCCTAATCCTCTTGATATAAAATAATTAATGAAAAGGTGAGTTATACCACTCCATTAACAATATCACACTAATCACAGATACGAAAAATTGAAGATTGGTAAAAATTAAAAAAATAACTAATGGAACCCTTACTTTATTTAAATATTTTTAAACTTGAAAACGTTTGTTTGATACTAACTGTAACGAGTTTTCCAAAAATAACTTATGAAGATCCATATCAATACCACTTTTCATTTTCATGCATAGGAGAATAAGAGACAATAACTTTCTTTTCTTACCTATTTACTAGTACCCCTAAAGATCCTTAGGGATGTCCCCTCTACTCGTGAACTAAATATCTAATTTTATAATTGACCGGTTGTTTCCATAACATGTCCGATAATGGGCGTTAAATATTCCATCACTTCAATACCCTATCCGGTATGAAGGTGAACCGTATCTCTCAAATTTTTCCGATAAGGGACTTCTCAACCCCGTCTGATAACGTTCACGGTAGGGTTTCTTATGTACCGGACCCGTCCACCATTTTCCTAAGTAACCAATAAATCTTTCACACACAGATTTTCATCAACAAACAACTAACAAACGTATATCAATATCTCATATCATATTCACAGATCAATTAAACTACATTCATGGTGACGGTATATAACCAAAATAATCAGATAAATTGATAAAACCATTAAATTATAAATTAAGAACATGTACTATACAAAAATCGAGCAAGTAGGACAATACAGAAAAATAAATAAAAAATCAAGATAATTGTGAACTAACTGATTACGCTTCCACTAGCAATATGTAATTATTTTTAGAGTTTCTAATTTTTTACAAAAATACAAAATTATATATCGTGAAACCCTAAATTGTAACAGAGAATAAAGTGAAAGGTCCTTATCCATATCAGTATTTCGAGACGTCACACTGTCAACCACGCCTCCTAACGGGTACCGAATTTTCTGAAATTTTTCTACAGAATTTAAAACACTTGTCACGTACCTAAAATATCCAAAAAAAATTTAAAATCAGTGTTCAAAACTCTTTTCGGCCAAATTTGGGATTCCGGCACAACGCTGTCATCGTGCTCTAGTGTCGGCTCTGCCACCCACGTCGGTGGTCCATCTTAATCAGATCAATTTTGGCCGGCACAACGCTGTCATCGTGCTCTAGTGTCGGCTCTGCCACCCACGTCGGTGGTCCATCTTAATCAGATCAATTTTGGCCGGTTTTGGCCGACTTTACCCGTATCTCTGCGAAAAAATACGTTAGGAGTCTCAGTTGGTCAGAAAATTACCAAAATCACTGAACCTATCGGCGTGGGGTCACCAGGTGCGGCGGCTCCATTGGTCCTTATTTTGCTGCTGGGGTTCTTTCTTCGGCTAACCTGCACAGAAAAGGACGGTGAACACAATGATCAAAAAATTGTGTGACACGCGAATCGGAAAGGAGCTCATCAGAGAAATTTTAGAATTTTAGTTGCGACAGCTCTGCTGGTCTTTGCCGGAGGTTTTCGCCTCATTCGCTGTCATTCTTGCTCCGACTTGGTTACAAGGATGCTCGGAATCGAATTCCGAGCAGGTAGAGAGAATTTTTACCTTTTTTGGTGGTCGGCGGTGGCTCTAGTTCGACGGCGGTTGGCAGTCGGCCTCCTTCTCTGGCGTTTGGTTCTTTTTCTCTAGCGGGGGCTGCCGGTTAGGGTTTGAGTTCCTATGTGATGTCAAATATTTATACCAATCTCGTATTAATCTGAACCGTCCATCACGATTGATCTTGTTCGTCCGATCGCGTTTAAAAAAGAAATAAATTTGGATCGTCCATCGTGATTGATCTCGACTGTCCGATCGTGCATAAGGGAGAAAGAAATTCGGATTGTCCACGCGCGTGGGATCGATCCTAGACTGTCCGATTGTAGGACACGTAGATTGCCCGCGTGGCCTCCCATGTGGCACCCACATCAGCATGCTTTGCGCTTCGGTTTGTCGGGGCTGCTGACTGAGCAGTCCTACGTGGTCGAACTTTTTATTATTTGTACTTTAACCACTTGTTTCTAATTTTTCTTTTGAAAATACTCGCTGAATTTAAATTTTCACTATTTTCTTCCAAAATTACTTTTAATTATATACATAACCTATTTTTTTAATTAATTAACAAAATTAAGTTTAAATTGATTTAAAAATAATTAATTATTTATTTTTTTGATACTAAAATTTGATTCTGAACTAAATTTTGGATTCGGGTATTACAAATATAACATGTTGCAAAATGAAATAAAATTAAAAAGCTTTTCAATAATTAAAATTTGAGGCAAAAAATTCGCTGAAATAATTATTTTGGTACTTTATATAATTAAAATGTGTGTTAGAAATATAATTAATTATAAAAAATATTTTTCAATTATTATTATTATTAGGACGAAAGAAATAGACAAAACCAATTGATGAAAACAAATAGACAAAACCCAAAGTCACGTTTAGGAATTTTTATTTATTTGCATGTTAATGTCACCTCACTCCAATATAATTATAATAATAAAAATGATGATGATATACTATATATATATATATATATATATATATATATATATTCCTTATTAAAGTACGAATATGTAATATTGTCATTAGCTCTGTTTTCTTATGAACATCATGACTGTATTTCCACTTGCCGTTCTTAATAATATACTCACGTGCATGTACATACAAATCTTGCGTCGCATGTGTGTATACCATATATGTGTGTGTGCGCGCGCGCGTGTGTAGTAGGTGAGAGAAGCAAAATTGAAGAACATTGAGATGGGTGGGTTTGATAGGATTACAATTGGGTTTTGCAGCTGTGTCACTTTTCGCTAGAACTGCCATGCTTCAAGGAATGGGTCCCAGAGTCTTTTGTTGTATACAGAGACAAGTCATAGCCACTCTTGTTCTTGCACCCATAGCTTTTTTTCTCAAGGTGTACAGACACACACACACACACACCACTACATGCATGTCATGTAAATATACACATAATTTCAAAATAATTGCTGACCATTTTCTTGTTTCTGTTGGCAGAAGAAAACCCAGTAGATGTTTGGGATTAAAGAGCTTCTCTTTGTTATTTTTTTACCTCACTTATTGGGTATGCTGTACTTAAATTACTGTGTTAAACTTTAGACATAATATACGGAAATATTTATAACAACGAGTCACAGAACATGTTTGTTGAGGGGAATGTACTTGGTGGCTTCATCATCAATAGCAAGTGCAATGTGTAATGTGTAATTTAGTCCCTGCCATCACTTTTCTGCCGGCAACTATTCTCGGGTGAAGTAATTTGAATTAGATATGAAATCTGGAGAAACTATTTTAAATTTCTACTTAGAATTCCCTTTATTATTAACTATCCTAGTTTACATTCTAAATATGAGTGATTGATTTTGTAATGTTGATTGGAGAAGGTAAATATATAGTTAATACTTGATATGTGTTGGTGGAGCAATTTCAATGGCATTGCTCCCAGGCCAAAAACTACTCAACCGGAATAATCTTTTTTTTTTTTTTTCCCGGATTGGGAGAGTTGTATTTAAAGAAACTACTCAATGCATGTATTGATTCACTCAATTTTGTCTAAATAGGGAATCATAGGATGTGCACTATCATTCTTCGTTCATCAATCTTGGTGTGTTTCACATAGAGGTCCTGTTTTCTCTGCCATGTTCGGACCTTCAAATACAGTTATTGTTACAATCTTAGCTGCAATATTTTTTCATGAAGAAGTTTACATTGGAAGGTAATAGATTATTAACATGGTATTATCCTATTTTGAATTCAAAATTCTTGGGAGATTAATTAGATATAACTTGTTTCGATTTTGTTTCAGTTTGATAGGAGCAACCGGCGTGATTATAGGTTTATATACCGTGCTCTGGGGAAAATCCGAAGATCGGGTAAAGATTGAAGCGCCCCGATAGATCAAACAGCAGAAGATGTGGAAATTTTGGTTGAAAAACAAAATTGCAAGCTTGATTTGGAGGAACATCTTCCCTCTCATACCATGAATCAGAATGACTCACAATGACAGCTACAATTGTTGTATTCTTCTGTTTAAGTCAATTGATAGGCAGAGAAATTTTCTGATATTATTATTTTCAAAAATAATATATATATATATATATATTTCAACTTATTTTGATCGTCATCAATCATAATATCATTATGTAAAAAATTATTTTAAGGTTCTGATAATGTTACTGGGTGTCCTCATCTTCCGTAGCAATATCCCAAAATCAGCCTAATGCAGCCAACGAACTTCTAGACCCATCAAAATTCTAGTCTTCAGCTTCATGAATCACCACAAATTTCATGAAACAATTTTTTTTTTTTATTTAAAAAAGAAGAAGAACACCCACATACCATCTGCAGAAGATAAGAACCAAAATTCTTTTTGACTTGATTTACAGCCTATCCTATTCAAACCCCACATGGTTACAAGCTCTTAAGGATCGATTTTGTAAGATGAAAAAGAAATTACCTTCTGTAAAAACTTGTCGGGACGTTTATAGAGTCATGTATCTACGGCATCTCCACGTGAAAACTTCACATGGGCATTTCCTTTCCAAAATTTTTAAAAGGGATGAGGACCTTCCCATGTGAGAAAATGACAAAGCAAAACTCAAAGACGGCAACTCATGCTTCTCTATCACTGATTCAACTCCACGTCAACAATTACCAGCTACTGAACACCACGTTTCTTTATCAGATTTTGTCGTTGTTTAATCACCGCGTCACAATGTTAATCATTATATACGGCCAAACAATTCTCGTTTGATCACTGTACATATGTAAGTATATAATTCTATTAACACGCACACATATATATTATCATACAAAGGGTTACATGTGGTGGAGAAGAATGGATGTTTACAAGCCAGCTTTGGGTATGATTGGCTTACAATTCACTTATGCAGGAGTTGCTCTGTTTACCAGAGCTGCTCTGCTTCAAGGACTGAGCCCACGAGTCTTTGTAGTCTACAGGCAGGGCATAGCAACTCTTGTTATTGTCCCCATTGCTTATTTTTCAAGAAGGTAATTAAGACTGAAAAATTAGCAATTGAGAGTCTCTGTGTAATTCTTATTAAATGGGTTTGTGTGGCAGGAGGAATCCTGATGGAGGAGCTTGTTTAGGGTTAAAGACCTTTGGTTGGATCTCTTTGGCTTCTCTTATTGGGTAATTGTTTTGCCGATAATTGAATCTTTTTGGTGGTTAATTATTTGATTAATTATTAAAAATTGGTAGAGTGACAGCCAATCAGAATGCATACTTTGAAGGACTTTACTTGGCTTCTTCAACTGTTGCAAGTTCAATGACTAATCTCATCCCTGCAGTCACCTTTGTTATGGCAGCTATTCTTGGGTAAACATAATTTCTCCTCTCTGTTTCAGAGAATGTCCTTCGGAAATTGTTGAATCTAACTTACGAGAATAGTTTTATTATGATAAATTTTGTTGATTTAGATGGGAGAAAGTGAATCGAAGAATCATTGTGAAGATAATAGGAACAGTTGTATGTGTAAGTGGAGCAGTTACCATGGCGGTGGTCAAAGGTCCAAAGCTATTAAACTCACCAAAGTCTTTCTTGAGCCAACAAGGGGACAACTGGCTTCTGGGTTGTCTTCTTCTGCTAGCTAGCAGTTTCTGCTGGTCGTTTTGGATGATCTTGCAGGTATTCCGACCTCAAAATTTTCTCTCTCTCCATTTTTTATCACTTCCGAAAACCTGCCTGTCTGTCTTCTAACGCTCAAATTACAGGTTCCGATTTCACTCAGCTGCCCCGATCACTTGTACTCATCTGCCTGGATGTGTTTCTTGGCGACGATACAATCAACGACGATTGCGCTACTCACCGAGAAAAACCTGCTGGGAGCTTTCGCTCTTGGTTCATTTTTTGAATTTTCTTGTTGCCTATACACTGTAAATATTTTCTCGTTGCTTATATATGTTCTCTTTCTAATGAAAAAACAAGTCCGACGTATAATCATGTGTAGATTTTAAAGGTGACGGGCTCTTTGTGAACCAGGGAATAGCACTTGCTGTGTCGTTTTTCGTTCAAGCATGGTGCATTTCGCAAAGGGGTCCTCTCTTCGCCGCCATGTTCAACCCGCTTTGCACTGTCATTGTCGCCGTCTTCGCGGCTCTGTTTTTGCACGAGGAAACGTATATTGGAAGGTAATATAATATCTATATCTATATCTGTATAAATGTATGAGAAACGATGTAAGGTGGCGTAGGTAGATTTACACAAACTGATGTTATCTGTGTAATTGTCATCAGCTTGGTGGGTGCATCAGCTGTCATAATTGGTCTCTACGTTGTTCTTTGGGGAAAAGCCAGAGACTTTGAAGAGATGAAACAAGAGATAACAGATAAGTCCAACCCCAAAAATGGCGATGCCATGATTGTTCAAGTTTTGGAAGATGAATCTTCAAATAAGAAGAAGAGCAAATCTGATCTACAAGAACCTCTCCTCTCTGATAACTATTCAATTAATGTCGATCAAAACGGCAACCAGCTCCTTCCATGAATATTTGTATATATATATATATATTGACTGAACAAGAACGATCGAGGAAAAACAGAGTTCATAATTCTAGAACTAGTATTTTTGTGTTTGTAACTCAATCATCACTGAGTAATTCAATAAATAACCTTTCGGCGACGTAATTTTTTATTATAAGCTTAATTAACACAAGATTTAAAAATTACCCAGAAAAGAAAAGGATACATAAGAAAGAAAGAAAAGAAAATGATGTGAACTATTTGTTGGGTGGTTTGTTATCAGAATCAGAACTCCTGCCGGCGGCGGCCTTGGCGACGTCTCCGGCGGAGGCTTCGGGCTTTTTCTTGACGTACAAAACAAAGTAACCGATGGCGGCGGTGATGAGGAGGCCGCCGATGGCCATGTTTGAGAGCTTGTAAGGTAATATGCGCCTCTGGTGAAGGATTTCGCCGGGATTCTGACCTGGTGGACGTTTAGATGAATCTAAACCTGCAGCTTTGACATCTTCCGGCCTCATCTTGTGGGTGTCGGCCGTTTTCCTCCACTCTTGCCTCTCTGTCATCTCCAAAATTGTACTAAGACTCGATTTCCAGTTGCCGATTTGACTCATATCGGCAACTGCATGCAGTGGGGTTTTGCCACGTTTGGTTGGAAAAGTTTCTTGTTCGTCCACGTAGGCTGTTACATGCAGATGTAATAAGTCGCCATGTGTTAATCTGCTTGTAACGAACCGGTCGGTTCAATTTGACCGATTCGGTTTGTTAGTCCAACCGTAAAATATTTATTCCGGTTCGGTCATCGCGAACCGTCCGGTAATAAATAATAGGGCTCCTGATGTTCCTTCTTCCTCCTTTTTTTGACCGGTGAATTGAAACAAAAATACACAATAATCTAGGAGGGTCACACTGA